CGAAGCATTAAAGAACCAGATGTATACAACAAAGTAATCATTTAAATAATACATTTTGTTATTTGTTATGAAAAAATATTGTTTTTAATCTTAGGTGAAGCACATATTGGTTTTACAATGCTATGTTTTAATGTTTTATCAAACTTTGTAGAAGAATTAAACAAGTTTAATATGTTTTTAGACAAATCATTTTTACTGTTGAGTAATCCAAAGTCTGCTAAGAATAATTTTTTTAATTCAAAGTAGGCCTGGTCTTTTATTCTAATTATTTGTTTATTTAATTCATTGATTATTTTTCAGATATTATAACTTGTAATAATTTATCACTAATAATTGAGTAAAAYATGAAAAATRAACAAATATAAAATACATTAATCAAATAGCCCTAGGTTTCAAGTTTGTTTGACTTATAATTATTCTTAACTTAAACAATACACCCTTTAGACCTTAGTACACTCAACGTCTTTAATACATTTTTATTTTGTAAATAATAGGATGTAAATTTGAATGTAGTAATTATTTTCATGAAGAAAATACACTAATATTCTTCTATTTATTTATTATAACAGATATTAGTAGATGTTCCATGTACAAACGATCGTCATAGTTTGGAAAATAATGAAAATAACATGTTCAAACCGACTCGTGCTAAAGAACGTTTAAAATTGCCTGAAATACAAGCTGATATCTTAAAGTAATAAATACCTATATTTATGTTAAAATGTATTGATACCTATTTATTTTGATTGTGTATTTTTTTTTTTTAGATCTGCTTTAATGAACATTGCTGTGGGTGGTACAGTAGTTTATTCGACCTGTTCTTTATCACCCATACAAAATGATGGTGTTGTTAAAATGGCTTTAAAGAAAATTTGGGAAGAAACCAACCATCAAATTATTATCAAGTATGTTTTTCATAAAAATAATAAAAGATTATCCGTAATATTTATTTTATTGTTTAGGGACTTAACGAAGCAATTTGAACCTCTAAAGTCTTTGTACTCATTTGGCAAAGGGTTGAAATTTGGTCAAATGGTTATGCCGTTTTTACCACTCAACTATGGGCCTTTATATTTATGTAAATTAGTTAGGGTAAAATAGTTGTTAACAAATGTATTAGGATTTAATTTAACGTTCATAAAAATGTTTGATTTGTTAAAAATTATTTTAGTTTTGTAAAAATATAGTACTCTTTTAATACTAAAATAATGCTCAATTATTGTAAAATATGAATATACTTCTGTCAATCCAAATTATGGTTGGATTGGTAAGTCTTGCCTATTAAATAATAATGTATTTAGAATTAGGTATTAAATTGTATTAATTGTATTAAATATATATTTGTATAGCATTGTGTTGAAGTTTAAGCATTATTGAAAATTTGAATAACTTATAATTTAAAATTTTAGTATCTTTTTGGATCAATATCTGTATGGATATATTTATTTGACAATTCATTATTTGTATTTTATCGTATGTTTTGGATAAGCAGAAATATATATCTTTTGGGCTATCAGATTTTAGGGATTTTTAACATTATGGATCAGTAACACAATACACAATGTATAGTAAACATKGGAATGATAATTTATGGCCCAATGTCCTATTACTAGCCGTATTTATTTTATTTTTGAGTTCACTACTTCTGACTTCAACAGTTCGAGTTCGACACAGTCCTCAATGAATAATAAGTGATCAATGATGTACTGGATACTACCATGTAACTATTAAGCAATGTTATAAGCTTAAAATAYATCAATTAATGGATAAATGATGTATAATTCGTTACAGCTAGAAACCCGGACAAATTTTAAAACAGTGGGCGGGATCTTTGGTTATTGATAAGAAAATTGATTAGATAACAATAATTAGATTTAAACTTCAAAGAGCTGTCAGATTAACCATCACACGGTTGTGTTTATAGTGGTTGTTTTTTGATGTTGATGATATCTTTTGGGTTTCTGGTTGCTGCTTGGACATTAAGATTTAAGGTTCCGCGGTAGGGTACGCACTAGTGCACTACACGCGTGACGCTGAAGTGAGCTGTGTAGTAACTCGACTGCTAACTGTTACAATATAGTAACTTTGCATATCGTCGTCGCTACTATTGTAATTCGTCGTCTTTGTCGTGATTTCCGAGTGCTTTATAAATCGCGTGCCCGACAATATGACTCTGAGTTAGTGTGCCGACCACGGCCGCCGCCGCCAACGGTCGTCGTCTTTTTTGACGGGGGTGTGGTGCCGGTGGTGCGGCAGCCGCAGTCGGATTCATAGACAAGTATACTGCTCCCGCTCGGAGGAGAGACGCGGTCACGTGCGACCGGCACTCGTATTCATAATTAATAATATTATTGTCCCCGAGGGGCTGAAGTGCCTCTACGTCCGGCTGTCGCGATCGCCATGTCCGAGAAGCAGCCGTGCACATACCGGCAAACGCGTTTTCACCGATTCCACGGTTACAACCTGAGCCTGCACGAACAGGACACGGTAGCCCACCGGGAGATGAGCTTCGCCAACGCCATAGTGTTCAGTGAACAGTCTCTGTCGCCGGGCGAAGTGTTCCTCATCGAGATCGAGAGCAGCGAGAACGGCTGGTCCGGACACATACGACTGGGTCTRACACAGCTCGACCCAGACGCGCTGCAGCGCAGTGGCCATCTGTTGCCGCAGTGCGCTATACCGGACATGGTGTCCAACAAGACGATGGGTGAGTCGTGGATATGCGCGCTCACCAAACACCAGGCTTGGTACGACGCCAACTATCTTACYAATTACTTCCGGCTGGACGGTAATCATGTATTCACATCACGGGGTACGTTTCCGACCAGCATTCTGAAGTCGTCAGGCAACGAAAAAATGGACATCTTGCCGACAGACGTGGGCAGTCGGGTTGGCGTGTTGTATTTGCCCTGTGGACAGAACATGGCTGTCATGCATTTCATTATCAACGGTGAGTTTGTCGTTCCGCTATCGAGAACCATTCCGTATAATGACGGTCCTATCAGAGCAGTCATTGATGTGTACGGTGCCACTAAACGAGTCCGTGTAATACAAGTATACAATGGTAAGATGGCTGTTAATAATAAATAATGTATTCCTTGCGTAATGTTAACACATGTRTGGAGCTAGTTTAGTGACCGACAAAAAAATATCAATATGTGCACTTTACTTTTTCTATAAATTTCATCTAATGCATGTTATGGTTTTGTAAGTTTATAAAGATTAAATTTCAAGTGTTGTTTGTTAGACCTCATCTTCTTACTTTGTTGTTGTTTGGCTTATATATAATTTTGTTGAGACAATTATTTGAAATTTAGTTTTCACTAAAGGTATAGTTCTCAACATTAATGGTTCTATTAGCTTTATAGTTTTTTTTAATTTCTCTCAGATAAATATTAGTAACCGTATAATAACTCATGTATGTTAAATAATAATTATTAAACTATTTTTGTTTTTAGTTAATTCGTTGCAAAGTGCGTGCAGGGAGACTATTCTAAAGAATATCAAAGCAGCATCTGTATCAAAATTACCATTACCCAACGCTCTTAAAGAGTATCTCCTATATAAGACTTAATCGGTGATTACTACTCAGTTTTTAACCCTAATTTTAGTTTCCAAACTGTAATTGTATTTTTATTTT